AACATTATCATCAATTAGACCAGATTTTCGTAACACAAAATGAAACAGTACACTGGTAGCACAATCCCAATGACTAAAAGATTGAGATGAGTTTTAAAAGCACACATCAGCCAAGGAAAATTCCACTGTTGTTCTCAAGCCGTAAGATAAAGGTGACTGAGCTCCTAAGAACATGGAGTACTCCTCAGAAAATACATTTTTAAATCCCATTTTCCATGCGCTTAAGCACGCATTTATGAGCCTGTCAAATCTACCTCTAAAAGTATTTCACACTGTACTTTAATGAACTGGATCTAACAGCTATACAGTAAAAATATTTTCGTGGCTATCTACATAGATATAAAGGCAACGTTCATTTGCATTAGGGCTCAGAGTCAATCGCCTGAAATGACAACATCTTTCAACTCCCCCCTCTGCTATCTGCTCAGGAAACCTAGCTTACCTGCAGCCCTGGCATCAGTCATTTGTCACCGACTGACACAAACCACAAAGCTCAAGAATGGCCAAGTATGGAGGCTAAAGTTCATATTCACACTTGTAATCTGCAATAACCAAACTAGGTTTTAGACCTGGTCCTGTTTCAATTCAAGATCTGTTTAGGCCACTACTCCTTTAAAACAAGAGGGCTCCCCGGCAAGCATTTCATAACCTTGGTGGCCACGAGCCCGGGCTGTCAACAACTAATCAAGAACCATGAGAAGCAGGGCCCAGGGCCAGGGGTAACTGTCACATTAAAGATTCAGGTGTCTGCTTTCCATTCTCTATCAGGGAACCCTGAATGGAAAAAAAAAAAAAGAAACAGGAGAAATCCCTCCTGTTTAAGTCATGAAGTAAAATGTTCCCTACTGGGAACAGTCATGAAGTGGGCTCATTTATTTCACATGAGGATGCCAACCCGGGCCTTAAATCCACTGAATTAATTCAAAAAGAGAATACTTGGTTCCAGTTTGGAGATAGGTCATGGTGGGTGCGGTGGGGGCGGAGTTGGGGGTGGCAGGGGAACAGAGATGATTCGGATCCTGGCCAACTGACATCCACGTAGTAAGGGAAGATGTGTGCTGCCCACTACGCATGTAATACACCGTGTGCCATGAACTCCAGAAAAGGATGGTGGCATTAGCCCACCTTTCACAACAAAAGAAGGTTGACTCCGGAATCAAAACCAGTACTTTTCCTCTCCATACACCCTTAAATGTATCTTCCCGTCCTCATTACAATCTGAGGAATAGAAAAGCTCTTCGCTTAGAGAAGGCAGGTAACTGGGTACAACTTCCCACCTGGACATAAGGGTGGGAGGCGTGCCCATCTCCCCGACTAGGCCCGCCAAGGCGGTGCACCACTCTGGGTGCTGGACCACGCTCGCTTTTCACAGGGCTTCATGCTCTGCCTTGATTAACCAGAGACCCCAGAACGTCGATCTCAGAAGTGGGCGCCCACCCAGGTAGATCATGGACGTGGTGGCATCCATCAGGCCCCGTCAACCCATACCCAAGCTGAGGAACGCTCAGCACTCGCCCCGACCCTCCCGGTGGCCTGCCTCCGGGGGTGGCGCGGTCCCCGGGAAGTCACTCATCCCGTCACCGCGCACACACCCCGCAGAGCTGAGCGAGGCGGGGGCGCACGGTGTAGGGGCGAAGCCGAGACGGAACCGGCTGGACAGAACCGGACCACCTCGGTGCCCTTCCTTTTCCGGATTCTCCTGGAAGAAACGTCGAAATGGGGTGGGATCCTTTTTAATGGTAATAGGGAGCCGGAAAATGCAGACAGTTGACCTTGGGAACCGAGACCGTCGCAGCGGGAAACGGAAAAGAAACGAAACACGTCGGCGAGTGAAGGGGGAGCACCGGGCGGCGCGAGGGGCGGGGGGAGTGCAACGGCCCGGCCGCCCGAGGGGAGTCGGGGAGGTGGGCGCGGGTGGGGGGTGCTCACCGTAGATCATGGCCAGCCCGGTCTCGTGCAGGAAGCGCACCCGGCGGTGCTTAAAGAGCCAGATGGTGAGGATGGTGAGCGTGAGCAGCAGGATGAAGGTGAGCAAGCTCACGCTGTCCTGCCGGTGGCTCTCCTCCGCCTCCTTCTCCGTGGCGAGCTCCTCCATGGCGCTGCTGTCCTCGGCCGCCG